GATAGTTATGTATTTTGGCGCGACTTGGTGGATATATTTCGTCCCGCAGATCCGGGAGCAGACGTATTCCGGATAGGATGCCGATGGAAACAACGCCCACAGCATGTGATGGCCTCAAACCTTCACGCCTAGGTTTTAATCTCAGTGTGGGAGGGGCGGGATGTTTTGGGTGGGGCTGAAGAAAGGGGCGTGGCACTTTTCTGCGCATATGGATACGAAAGCCATGAAGCTCCCTACGTCTTCGTGCGCTGTGGTGTGCTCAGACTGATTGGCCCTCCTTAAGCCTACATACAGCCTGGTTATGTTTTAAAGCAAACTACCATGCAACAAAATAAGGTTTTTGGCCCGTCTTTATTTTGGCGTCTTCAAAGATGTCCAACGAAATTTCCAGTTAAGGTGCTGAGCGCGAAATGACATTCACCAGAATTCTAGATAATTGCTTAGGAAATCCTACTTGGACAGTCAGCTTGCTGCTCCGTATTGGTGGATTCCATGTGATTAAATTCACGGCGCGAGGCGGGGCGTTTGTAGCTTAGCGGTTAGAGCATTGGCCTCCGGCAAAGGCCTTCTATGATGCGCGGGTTTAAATCCCGCCAAACGCCTCGAGTTTTTTCACAATCGGGTCAACTCAAATTAAACAAATCTGTCAAACCTTCTAATAATATAGTGAATAAGTTGAAGACAGGTAGCCTAGTACTTCAGTACACCGATACTGAGTTACTTGACAGCTCGGTGTCGGATACTGCAACTCCATGAAGTTCTGCGCTCATGTACGATGCGCATATATGAGTCGCTCTTGTGTTCTCATTTACTCTAACACGGCGAGTTACACAGATAAAACTTATTGCGGTTTTTAGAGGTAATAAGGATAAAGTTTCTTTTAACGAAAAATAACTATGGGACTATGACCTCATATAGCAGGATAACAGTTGTGCTAGACCGGACTCGAACGATAGAGGTCTCGAATCAAAGTCACGTTCTTTGACGTTCTTAACTGACCCGCAAGGTAGTCTGGGCTACGCTTCTGTTGGTACAGTTTGGTAAACCTCCTAAAACCACAAGTTACGGCCGTGAGCAGATAACTCCATATAACCCTCAATCTCTATAAATGGTCTATTGAAACATTCAAACAATTACGCCGGGAGTCTCACTGCGTGCTCTATGTAGAAATATCGGCCAGAATGAACATGTCAGACTCAACTAGGCAGTCATACGGTTTTGTTTGTGCTCCTCGTAGGGGTAGGTCGTCGAAAATGTTTCAGCGTTAGACCTCTAGGGCTAAAGGTGGGAGTACACTGTCATACCTCACTCACGCCCTTGCTAAGGAACGTGTTGATAATGATCGCTGCAAGTGGAAAAAAGGGTAAAGTCAACCGTCGACTTTTCAGTCCGCAGTCCTAGTTAGCTCATCTTTGGACTTAACGGGCGGAAAGATAAAGTCAAAGGACACTGAAATGGATAGTTAGGGCTTACTAGCCATCCATTTTTCAACATCCATTCTGGCTGACGCTCAGTTGAAACTCTGACACTTTCGACCATTGCGGAGTAAATCAGACGCTCTAGCATTCAACCACGACTGAGAGCAGATGTTACTCGGGTAGTGGCGATTCACCAAACCCCGAGTCCGTGACTGATTCATGGCTGACGGATGATGACTAACATTCCATAAACGGCGCTTTCAATTTCGCTTCTGAAACCGATGGGTCCTACGTTAGACTTAAGGTCAGACTGTACGTAGATAGTTCCGTTGAAGGTAAAGTGCGTCCTCCAGCTCCTAAAGTCAGACTGTACTTACATCTTAGTAATGTGATCATTATGGCACTCTGATGCATGTGAGATCGAAAGCGCCCTTGTGGTAGCCTGGTACACGTATTGTGGAACAAGGTCATGTGTAGCACGGGTCGCTTACTTTTGACAGTCCTTACGCCAGTGCTGGCATCAGATCACCTTGGCGCTATCTTGTTACAGAAGCAAGGTAGCGCAGGAAGAGAAAGTGGGAGTTAATGCTGCAAAATGTTCGCGGAACCAAACTATGTTGAGTGGGATTCACTGCTGCTGGCGTCTACTCTGTGAGATAAACGGTGGGTGTCGTCGCCAAGGGCGTTCTAACTGTCAATTAGGTGAATACTGCACGGCACACATGCTTACTACAGATGACCAACACTAATACCGTTCATGTTCTATAACCGGTGTTTAATTACGCAGCAACTGTCATCAAAATGCAGTACTGTCGGGGTTGGTATCCTCACCCAGTCTAACCGAACCGTGTTCGTCAGCAGAGATCTTACTTCCTTCGGAGGTCTGACAAAACAATGGCGGGTGGATAGAGTGCTTGGCCGAACCAGCTGCGGCGACGGCGGTCTCTTGGTGCAACAGCGGCCTGCAATGGCCCCGAGCATTTGTGGATTTTCAGGCCACAAGACG